TTTTTTTTTTTTTTTTTTTTTTTTTTTTTTTTTTTTTTTTTTTGTTGTTGTTGTTGTTGTTGTTGTTGTAATGATCCATGTGTTGGATGATGAAAGTCCCACATCGGCTAATTTAGGGAATGATCATGGGTTTATAAGTGAGGAATACTAACTTCATTGGTATGAGGCATTTTGGGAAGCCTAAAGAAAAGCCATGAGAGCTTATGCTCAAAGTGGACAATATCATACCATTGTGGAGAGTCGTGTTCGTCTAACATGGTATCAGAGCCATGCCCTAAACTTAGCCGTGCCAATAGATTGGCAAATCCTCGAATGTCGAACAAAGGACTCCGAAAAGAAAAAAGGAGTCAAGCCTCCTCGGAGGTACGAAGGCAATTGTAATGACTCGCTACAAGTTCTTTTAACATGATTTGTATTCACTCACATGCATTTAAGTCACCTAATATAGAATTCTTCCAAGCAAAACTCACATAATCATGAAGTTTTTATGATTGAATCACTGAAAAAAAAAAGTGCACTTGTTGGTATCTGACTTCTAATTCTTTTAATCATTTTATTCGAATGTGATATCAGTTAATTCATGTACTGATTTTTTATTCAGGTATTTTTTTTTTTTTTTTTGTTCGATAACTATTTGATTTCGTTAGACTAGTCTATTCGAGAATAAGAAGACGAGGGGCACATCTTCAAGAATGGATGAAATGAATGTGACGGTAGAAAAGTCCCTTATGCCCCTAAAATTTTCTCACCATTTCTTTAATTTTCTTATGGTTAAGAATTGAATTCTAAAAATATTTTATTTTTAGTTTTTTTAGAATTTAACATTGAAAACATTAATAAAATAATGCCAAATAAAGACTAAATTTATTTGGTAAATTTGAAATCTTAATTTTTTTTTAAGACTAAATTTAAAAACTAAATAATTATATGCCCAACCTCTTTACATTTTCACCTAATTATGTAAATTTATGTTCCCAATAATTTATAATGGCAAAAAAGGCATCCAACAAAACATTCAAACCATAGAAAACCCGACATTGTGAATTTGAGGTGGCGTTTTGTCTCTTGCACACATGTCCCATAAAAGAGAAAATAATTTTATTAAAAAATACAATTTTACATCATGCCCACATTAAATTTCTCAAAAAAATAAGAAAAAAAAAATCAATAAGAATGGGTGAGATTTCACATTGATTTGAGGGCAAACCAAACATCTCTGTTAGGAGCGTGGAAACCTCTCCCTAGCAGACACGATTTAAAAGCTTTGAGGGAAAGCTCGAAAAAGAAAACCCAAAGAAGATATCTGCTAGCAATGAGCTTGAATTGTTATAAATGATATCAAAGCTAGACACTAAGTGGTGTGTTAGTGAGGACGTTGAGTCCCAAAGAGGGGTGGACACCAAATGAGTGCCAACGAGAACGTTGAGCCCTAAAGGGGGTGGACACCGGGCGGTGTGCCAACTAGGACGCTGAGCCCCGAATGAAGGTGGACACCAGACGGTATGCTAGCAAGGATATTGGGCCCCAAAAGGGGTGGATTGTGAGATCTCACATTAATTGGAGAGAGGGACGAGCGCCAGTGAGGATGTTGGGCCCGAAGGGGGTAGATTGTGAGATCTCACATCAATTGGAGAGGAGAACGAAGCATTCTCTACAAGGGTGTGGAACGCTGAGCTCCAAAGGGAGGTGGACACAGGACGAGTGCCAACGAGGATATTGGCTCTGAAGGGGGTGGATTGTGAGATTCCACATCAATTGGAAAGGAGAATGAAGCATTCTCTATAAGGTGTGGAACGCTGAGCCCCAAAGGAATGGTATTCCAACGAGGACGTTAGACCTGAGTGTGGATTGTGAGATCACACGTCGATTAGAGGGAGGAACGAAACATTCTCTCTAAAAGTGTAGAAACCTCACCGTTAGCAGACACATTTTAAAAACATTGAGAAGAAGTTGAAAAAATAAAGTCAAATAGGACAATATCTCTCTACTAAAAAAGGCTTACCATAAATAATCTAAGTGCTCCTCCTTTTCCATGATATCACTTTTTTTTTTTTTTTCCTTTTTGTGGTGGAGAGATATCGGCAAACAATAAGCAAATTAAAGTTGATAAACTCAATCAATAATAAACTAATCAAAAGTTGTTGTTCTTATTTAAATTTACGTGGTGGACATGAATGAACCCAGAAAAACAAAACAAGAATAGAGTTGATTAACGTTGTTGCTTTTATCTTCTCATTTCATTCCATAATCAACAAGACAAGACAAGAGAGCATAAGAAAACAAACAAAAACAGACCAACGTAACATATTAACATTACACAAATAGGTGTTGTGTGTGTGTGTGCGCGTGTGTGTTTTGATGGATCACCACTGAAAATCCTTCTTCCAATTAACCTCATCAGGGCTAAAGTAGAAGCCATCTTCCCTAACCAACCAAGAACATTTCTTGAAAATCCCACATCGGTAGAAGTCCCTTGGAACCTTAAACGCATCAAAAGACTTCCTTTTGGCATCCCATTTCATGGTACAACAGAATTGGTTGGTGTTCCACAGCTTGGTTGTGACTCTCCAGCTGAAATCATCGTGTTCTTGCAACGCCCTCCCACCCAAATCGCTGTCTTTTGAAGAACACCATATGACCAAAGGCAAAGATGAATTGTTGGTGAAGCCATTGATGACTCGAACCTCGTAGACGACCCCGTGTAGGTATAGTCTGTCTGGTTGGATGATGAAGATGAAGAAGGAGAATGCTGAGACGAAGAGGAGGAGGAGAATGGTGTTCAGAATTTTCTTCTTCATTTGCCTCTTTTTTTTTTCTCTTTTTTTCTTCTCTTTTTTTAATGGGTTTTGGTTTTGATTTAGGTATTTATTGAGGGAAATCTAAAAAAAAAAAAAAAAAAAAAAAAAAAAAAAAAAAAAAAAAAAAAAAAAAAAAAAAAAAAAAAAAAA